TGTGTGTCTCCTAGATGGGGAATTCGAGTCTGTCACAAGGATAGTGTGCTCCGAAGATTGGCAGGAGAGGATGCTGCTCTTTGCCGGTGTGAGGAACAATGGGACACAGAGAGCCCCAGTGACCCAACACCAGGCCAGTTGCTGGGTACCCAGAAGACGAGAAAAAATATGTGCATCGTCTGCACCGCTGACTTTGCAAGATAGCAGAGGAAAAAAGTAACACATTGGAGCTTGACAAATCCATTTCAGGAACTCTACAGCCAGAATACTAGTACTTACCTTGTGGCGAAAAGATGAACTTTCTGTCAACCTTTGTGACATTTGAGAACCTCCATGAGGTTCGGAGATTATGCCACTGGGGTCCAGTTATAGCTCTGTCTGTCATTGCTATATGCTCCACCATGGCAGTTCTGGACTCCATTATCTGGTACTGGCCACTAGACACTACAGGAGGCAGCATTAACTTCATCATGCTCATCAACTGGACTGTTCTCATCCTCTACAACTACTTCAACGCTATGTTTGTTGGACCTGGATACATCCCTATTGGCTGGAAACCAGTAAGGATCTTCAGGATTATGACATTTCTCACAGGCGTTTGTTTATGTAAACAGTTTAAAGAACAGGATGCAGCCATGTCTCCATAAAGATGTAGACTGAAACCATTTAATCGTAGGAAAAAGATGTTACAGCAGAGGTTTGACTTATTTGTTTGTCCCGAAACAGGAGAATCAACAGGATACCCAGTACCTACAGTACTGCAGAGTGTGCCAAGGGTACAAGGCCCCCAGATCCCACCATTGCCGCAAGTGTAACAGGTAGGTGAACATTTATAATCAGAGTAAGAATGGGTTTACTCTCTGTGTGAGATGGATTTGTGAAATAAAAGACCACAGAGAGCTACTCGAGCTAGAAAATCACTGAGCTATTTTCAGCACACCAAACTAGAGCTGGCTCGTGTATACGTGGTTTGTCCATGTTATTTCCGCCCACACGGTGCTGTAAGGTCTCTGTGTAGCTATAAAATGCTGCAAAGAGACTGTACAGCATCACATAATCTATTTATGCGATATTAAATAGATTTTAAAGAAAAAAAGATACGGTGCGACTTGCTGATGAACGTGTCACTCTATGTCCTCCCAAACAACCAGTCAATTCCCCCCGCACTCCTCTCCTCCTCTGCCTCCCCTCCCCCAGGTGCGTGATGAAGATGGACCACCACTGCCCTTGGATCAACAACTGCTGCGGCCACTTGAACCACGCCTACTTCACCAGCTTCCTCCTGCTGGCTCCACTGGGCTGCTCACACGCTGCCATCATCTTCATTATGACCATGTACACTCAGCTGTATGAGAGGGTGAGGGTCCTTACCACGATACAACGCTACACTATGCTTTTGATGGCCTATTATCGCCACAGCTTTTCTCTAAGCAGGGCTGCCTCATTCATTTTATCATTTGACACTGATGTTACCACACATTTGAAGCTGTTTTCTTTTTCCCTCTCTGCAGATATCATTTGGTTGGAGCACTGTGAAGATTGACATGAGTGCTGTGCGTCAATTCCAGCCCCTCATGCCCTTCAGTGTGCCCGCCTTTGCTGCCACACTCTTTGCCTTAGGCTTGGCACTGGGCACCACTATTGCCGTTGGCATGCTTTTCTTCATACAGGTGAGGTTTTTCATGTGGGGTGCACAATTTCCACAAGCTCTTGGCTATGAAATGTGATATTTAATATGATCTTTTTGGCATTAACCTTGAAAAGCCAGACTACCCGTGAGTTCTTTTTAAAACATTTTGTGAAAATTTCACCAATCATCATAATGGCATTTAGACGATGATGTGACCTTGCTGCCTTTCAAAATTCACATAGCTCATATTTGGATTTGTTGTATCAGATTTAAAAATGCAAATGCACAGCATATCTCTATTAATTCTGATTTACTTGAAAATCAAGACACATAATGAAATAGTCTTTTCCTTTTCAGATGAAAGTCATCCTTCGAAATAAGACCTCAATCGAGTCATGGATCGAGGAAAAGGTCAGCATGTCTCTCTGATTTCAAGTGGCTTTGTTTTGTGGTGACATTTTGTAATGTTTGTGTAATTAAAGATGGATGACTTTTGCATTTTTTATTGTTTGATCTACAAACAATAATTGGGTACGAGTCATTTCTATTCACACAATATTGAAGGATTTAATGTATTTTCAACATTTAATTGTCAGAACTCCATACAAGTAGCAGGATCATCTGTCAGTACAATATATCGCAGCGATTACTGAAACTTGACACCGTCCCACCTGGTCCCATTGACACACATTCACTACCACTCCCTGTGTCTTTTCCACTAGGCCAAAGACAGAATACAGCACTACCAAACAGGGGAGGACTTCACCTTCCCATACGACCTCGGCAGCCGCTGGCTGAACTTCAAGCAAGTTTTCACGTGGTCAGGGATGCCCAAGGGTGATGGCTTTGAATGGCCAGTCCATCCCAAGTGTCACCAGCACACCTTAACTGTAGGTTCAGTTTGTTAGAATTTGGAAACGTGTACAATGCTGTTTTTGATTTGTCTGTTATTGTTTTATGCGTCAAATGTTTACAGTTTAGGCAGCAGGTATTGTATAAGTCCAACTTTTGACACATTTCCTGTTGAGATAAATGTTACTTCAATTATCTTGTTCCTCTTTAAACAGATTGAGCAACTGAAGCAGAAAGCTGATAAACGAGTGAGAAGTGTAAGTACCTGCCAAATCCAAATATATTTGGATAAATCTGGATTAGCTTAGTGTATATCACTTTAACAGTGCTGACGTGCATCCCATACTTCACTAATGGGTCTGGTTTCCTTCTGAACAATGCTTATTCAATTCACAGTGAATGTCTCCAAACTAAAATCTTGCAGCGAAGTTTAAGTGTGTGAGATGTAGGCTGGGTTCACAAGTCAAAAAGATTCTCCTGCCACGGCTTATTCTGTTTGCTTGTGAATTTTAGGTGTGTGCCAAATTCCAAAGTCTGAATCAGGGAACAGATTTTGGGTGTTTTCTTAAATGAAGAAGCTAAGCTTATCTGCACAGAGTATTACATTGATAAATGTCTTTTAACTTCTGGGGGAAAAAAATCACCACACCTGCTTTGATAATAGAATAATAGACAATAGTAAGGAAGGAAAACAAGCATTGTCTTCTTCAAATGTAAGAAAACAGATTTCTAAAAAGATAACAGGTCAGGTGGTCAGAAGAAGAAGAAGTCAGTCCACACAACCGGTTAGAGCACTTCCTTATTGCTAAAATGCAGAAGTTCAATAGAAACATCAAAACATGGTAACTGTTAGAAATTATGGCAGACGTTTGAATGTATTGAGATTAAAGACCATGACTTCATAAACACATACCTGTGTCTTGTCTGGAGGTCAGAGCGGTAGAATGAACAGATGTCTTGTATGCTTCGGCCAGCAGGTCCAGTACCGGGCATTGGAGGACTATAACGGAGCTTGCTGCCCCGTGAGCAAAGGTTTCCAAACCTTTTTCAGAACCCCCTGCACCGAGGAGCCCAGGATCCCCCTCAACAAAGGGGACACCATTCTGGCCACTCGTGGCACCAAGTGAGTTCATTCAGGCCCAACAATAACATCACTCTTCATGGTTATTTATCAAGAAGTCTGATTGGTTAGCCGCCAGATTAAGGAGTTATTTTGATGGACCATGTAAATTCTCCTAATCACTGTTCATTCTCTTTAGATGGTGGATGTATGGAGACAAAGTCTTGAGTGAGGAGCAAATGAGAGGTGAGATGAGAGTTTTTTTTAAATTGACTGTAACAAATTCGACTCCAACTGACGGTCCTTTGCTGCTTGTCTTTTTTTTTTTTTTAAATGTATTTAAATAAATAAAAACAAATGTGTTAACTGAGTTTTTTTCTGATTTGATTTTCAGCGGGAGACCGTGTGAGGGGATGGTTTCCAAGGCGATGTGTGGAGAAGTGCCATTATGACACAGCTGCCAGTGATAGCACCAGCGATAAGAAAGTAAATTAATATATTTGAACAGGCTTCGTGTAGAGCAGGGGAGTTAAACTGAACAAAAGGTGTGTGTCTGTGTTCATAAACGTACATCCACTGAAGATGTCAGGCCTGAAGCTGCAGGCTCACCATCAAATATTTCATACTTTGATTAAAATTTCTCACATTTCAAAAACAACTTTTTTAAAAGGCAACATCGTTCTCTTGCTGAGCACCTTGCTGTCAAATAACGTCTTAAAGACTACAGATCCCATGGGTTCAGTTTGACTCCTCTGACTTAAAGCTGAAACCCAACAACAGTCTTAATTTCCAAGAATTGCCACCAGGCTTTAATGTGACTGCGTTGTGATTACATGACTTTTTACTTGAATCTGTTGTTTTTACTTGTGTTGATGTCCTTTTTTGCTAATTATGCAATGCCTCTGCCCAGCTAACCCCGGGGCTTCGTCATGCAACTCTTTCTACAGTATGGAGATAACACTTAAGTTCTTTTTATTATTTTTGTAAAAACAAATTGTTGGCCTCAAAGTATAAATTGAAAATTAAAAAAAACTTCCGCAAGAGTCGTGGTTTGCCTCTGTTTTTGTGATTGCTCTGAATTTTCATGTTTAAATACATATTAAATACATGCAAGAACCAGATATACATCAACGCCCAAACTCCTAATTCACATTTATTTATGGTTTTAGCCTAGATTGTGTTTTGGACTAAAAATAAAGGTACCAGTATGTACAGGTCTATGATATTCTCTGGGAAAAAAGGATCCACTATAACTATGATTGGTTTTATTTATTTAAGTGTCCTTAAGTGGGTTTATAAGACACTGGACCGCAAGTCAGGATGGCTACAGGACAAATTATACTGTTTCTACTCAAATTCAAAAAGAACATATCATAAAATTAAATTTCCATGACAGAATTATTATTATGTTGAATACATTGTTCTGCCATGTGTTTTCTATAAATTATGCTCAAGCGAAAATCTCAACATTTCACCCTTCAGACAACCAAAACAAATTAGGGTTTCTTCAAGTCATTATACACCGGGCAGTGAAACAGAAATTGAAATTGAATTGATTGAATATTATACTATAACTATACTAGTAGTAAATCTAAAATAGATAAGGTATCAAGCATTTATCTATTTTCAAACAACAGCAATATAATGATATTATTGTCCAGATGAGTTCTCACTTGCCTCTGAGACGTGTACATGAAATCCATCTCATTCAGGACCTAATTATTTATAGTGATTTTACAGTAATTACTGCAGAAGAAGTTTTAAAAAGAGGTGAGAATTTACTTAATGCACACAAACCTGTCTGAAGGATGTAAGTTTTCAGTCCTGCATCACGTTTGCCATGACTTCCGGAAGGCTCTGCACTCCTACACAGGTGTTTTGAAATACCCTCACTGATTGGACCTCATCTGCTGAGGTGAGACTTGAGATCACCAATCAGAATGTGAGAAAGTGGAGGTTGTCCCGCCTTAACAGGTGCAGCAACAATGACAGGGACATGTCAATCAAGCTCATTCTTTACACACCTACACTGTTGAAAAGAGGACCAGGCACACCTACACTTTAATGGACTTTTGTCACCAGGTTTTTAGCTGTTTATATATTTCATGAATTACTTTTTGCTGTGTGTTATTGCTTTATATCTTTATTTCCTCCAACTTTTTTATTTATATTTATTTTTAAAATTTGGATGGATGAGGGGGAAAAAAGAGAACTCTTTAAATGATCCCTAACAACATAATTTATGGAATTTAAAAGCTGGAATTAATGTTTGGGATTAATACATAATTCATTTCAACAAACAGCATGTAAACGTGTAGAAAAACAGAAAATGTGGATCAGAGAAGTCCTAGTTACATGACTACATGTCCCACACTTCACCGCTTTCCCCCTCAACCAATCAGCGTGCAGGTAAAATATCACGTGATCATCCAAGCCTGTTCATGTGTGAGTGACTTCCACTAGTGGGTGCACAGCTATTTGGACTGGTGTGGACTGGATAAGACAGTTCCTCCTTGGAGATTATCGGAGGGGGGAAACGATCTGGTGATATAGTAGATATGAGGACGAGGTTGTCGATATAGTGCACGATTCCTCTCCCGCTCATCACGTGGCTTTGTATTTGTAACAACACAGGTAAGCCATGCTAAACTGCAAGGTTGCCTATGTGCCAGATTGTAAACACTTGCTCTGTGTGTGTGTATGGGCCGCAGTAAATGTGGTTTGGGACTAAACACAGACTGCTCCGGGTTACAGCATCAAGGGTTTCTTCTACAGGATTGTTTTGATCCTGCAGGATCGCTTTGCAGATGAGTTGTTACTGCATTTTTTTCTGCGGGCAATGTGATGGCAGTACTACATAGCTAACGTTAACTAGCTTGGTACGACTTTGAGTAAGTTGATGTGAGGTGTAGCTGAGGGGGAGAGTGACTTCAGATTCAACAGCTACGATGTCAAACACTGTGTGAGCAGCTATGCTTCCCAGTCTGCTGACAAGAAGTCACATTAGCTAAACAGTGATCTCTACTTTCAGCTCAAATCCTTTGACTGTGTATTCAGGCTCCATTTCAATAGTGTGGTCAGGTTGAGGAACAGTGTGACAGTCACAAGGACTTGTATTCACTATATAATCTTGTGACTCTGCTGCTGCATTTCAAGGAAATTTAGGGGATTTTGTTTTTTTTTAAGTTACTTCACCTCTGTTGAAATGAGTGCTTCCTTTTATAAATGCCAACCAAAGCTTGCACAGTGTTGACTTGTTACAGTGTAATGGCTGAGTTGTAGCATCAGCTGAAGGTAGACTGCTATTGTCAAAGCTGGTAAATCATTCCATTATAGGCCGATACTGCAGACACAGAGCGCCCACGGAGACACTGCAAGTATGTGGATGAGCTGTGCAATTTACAAACAATGCACAGTGTGATAACAGCCCTGTGTAGCAATAAAAAAAGGAGAAAAATGTAATGTAATAAACATGATTTGTGTGTAAAATGTTTGCGAGACAGGACAAAATACTTGTGTTTTGAAAATGTTGATAATATTCTAGATGAGCAACGAAGGAATTACTAAAACACTGAACAACATCATATAATATACAAGTATTTTCAAACCTTGTAGCTGATTCAGTTTTGTGTGCGTCTTCTCTGGCATCTTAAAGGTGTAGTCTGTATTTTGTTACAAGAGAAAAAGAAGCCACCACTGCTTGAGAAAGTGTGTATATAACATTGTCATTTGGTTCTAATGTAATCCAAAACTAGACATTTCTAACATCACAGCCTCAGCTGCTACTGTTTTTGACTTGTCTTCCACTTTCCACCCCTTCCCGTCTTTACCCACACCCTCCCCCTCTCTCTTACAGCGACTCCTCAGACACCGCGCCGGCTGTGATTCCCTGTGATATCAGCCACTAACATGTCCATGTTCAGCACGGGCATCCTGGTGCTGACGTCTCCTCTCCACACCCTCCCCCTGCGCATCGCTCCAGTGCTTAGCTCAGCTGCTCAGCTTGTGGAGCGCACGCTGTACGTCCACCTCCACCCGGGGTTGAACCTGGGAAGTGGGAGCCAGCCACGGCCAGTTTTCATTCCACCCGTGGTGGACCTGTCTACGCTCATTACCCGCCTTTATAGCAATGCAGCTGATGTATGCGGGCACCTCGATGTTCGTGTTTTACTGACCAATGTTCGCGCTCAGTCAGCTGCCTGCAGCGGGACCCAGCCAATCCCAAACTGCCCCTTTCCCACACCACAATCTCTGTCTCACTCCCCGGATGTGGTGCTAACAGACTTTGCTCTGCAGGACCCAGGTCAGTCTCATCAGGTTACACAGTGTCTGCAGAGGTACACGGGCCACTGCTACGTCTGTAGCCCCAGCCTGCCCTCGGTGCTGCTTCACCCTCAGCTAATGAGGCTGCAGGAGAAAGATGAAGGGCTGAAAGAGCCTGAAGAAAAGGCAGAACCCTTGGAGACCTACAGTGATGTGGTGGTGGGAGGGACATTTGACCGACTCCACGGGGCCCACAAGACGCTGCTCAACATCTCCTGCTTGCTCGCCAATAGACGGTTCCTTATTGGTGTGTGTGACCAAGCAATGCTGAAAAGTGAGTAGTTCGTTTTCAGTATTTCCACTGAGGAATGTGTATTCGTGTGATATTTCTGAGGCTGTGAAAACAACGATCAGATCCTTTTCCTCCCGGCTTTAGAAAAAGTGCTACAGGAGCTGATCGAGCCTTACTCCCTGCGGGTCCAGAGACTACAGGAGTTCCTGCAGGACGTCAAACCCTCGCTGCAGGTCGAGATCGTGCCCCTTGACGACCCCTTTGGGGTGTCCGTGGTTGACCCCTTGCTGCAGTGCATTGTGGTTAGCGAGGAGACTAGAAGGGGAGGCGAGGCTGTCAACAGAAAACGCATTGAGAATGTAAGTTAGGAAAACTGATAATACGTGTTAAGCTGGGCTTTCCCAGTTAGTGGATATGGTTATATTTATAACATTAGTGTATTTAAGGTCCGTCTCTTAACTGAAGTTTTCTGGGGCTGAATTCTTTATCAACATATCAAGTTTCACAGATTATCGTAATGTAGATTTGTCCTTTTATCTTTTCCTATGTCAGGAGATATATAATGTTGCTTTCTACACAGCACATTTTATTACCTAACAATTCTCAAATTATCCCTCATGGTCTATTCTGAGTGTCACAGAGCTTTACTTGCCGGATTTTATTGTGACTTGTTATAATAAAACTGAAAGGCTTACAGTGTAAGGAAAACACAGAAAACACTTCTATTGCACATCTGAATCCTGTCACAGCAGAGGAGCTTGTCCTTGACCCAAGCCTCGGTATACATTAGCACATATGTGATGTTTTGTGTTCTGTGCTTTTCTGAATCAGGGCCTTCCAGCTCTCATCCTCCATGAGATCCAGTTACTTAAAGATGCCCACCACACTGAGACAGAGGAGGAGAAGATCAGTTCGTCCAGTCTACGCTCTCGTCTGCTGGGCACCCTCCTCACCCCACCTAAAGTAAGTCATGTTTACAAATGTTTCCATTTTGATAAGTGATATCAGTGCAGGGTGATGGATGCTTGTGGCAACGCATAATGCATTCAGGGAATCACAAAAATAGGAAAAGGTTAGAAAATATAATTGAAATAAAACATGTTTTATCTCTTTCTTTCCCTATCTGAGGCTTATTAAAGGACTCTTAATAACTGTTGGTGGTGGGGGTATAATCATGCTTTTCTTAAGGGGCACATCATTTTTAAATGTTAAAGAAGCTCTGCAGAGCCTCCAGTCGTAAAATAGTAATTGTCAAATTGTGCTTTAAAGTCCATTTGATTTTTATTCACTCACTGAAGCAAAACATTTAACGGCAGTTTTCTGACCATTTGAGTAGGTGAGGAAAAGTGTTTTCAGACAAAAATAAAAGAGCAGCTGAGCATTTTGTAACAAGGGTCAAACTTAAAGATCAGAATATTTTATTGTTTAACTAATTAACTTCTTACTCAGGTAAAAGAATAACTAGCATATGCCAAAGTACAATGTCTTTTTAAAGTGTTAAGCAACATAACACCTACCTTAATGAAAAGAGGTAGATGTGTGTTGGGAAAGATCATTTCATTAAATGACCAGTGTGTGGAATTGAGTGACATCTAGTGGCGTGGTTGCAGACTGCAACTTCCTCGTTTCACCCACCCCTTCTAAGTGGGATGGAGAAACTATGGTGGCTGCGAAATGTGTGTTTGGTTTGCCCGTTCTGGGCTACTGTTGAAACATGGCAGCCTCCATGGAAGTCAACACGCAGTAGTTTTCAATTCGGAGCTTACAGATGACTGGAGTGAAAGATTAATGTGATTTATATTGTTCTGTCACAGGATCTCCTGCAGTGAGGTCGGAGAGTATCTCTGAGGGCCTGACTAGTTAATGTACAGTTTTTGTCCTATCATCACCTCCACCCATTGATTCGATCCTCTCACGTTAAGTGCTGCAATATTTCTTTTTAATTTTTCCTATATCCTGCACCCTTGTATCTCCTGTTTCCTCTGCACTAGGACACATCCGACCTCCCTCCCCTTCCGTATGTGATTGGCCTGACAGGAGGCAGCGGCAGTGGCAAGAGCTCCATCGCCAAGCAGCTGGAGGCTTTGGGTGCTGTCCGGATTGACTGTGACAAGCTGGGCCATGAGGTGTACCAGTCTGGCACAACAGCCTATCACAAAGTGCTGGAGGAATTTGGGTCAGGTGAGGAAACACTAACATGTGATTATTGTAGGTGCTGGGCTATGGTTAGAGATATTGTCTGCAACCTAATCCAAGTATCACGATTTTAAAGTAACATAAATTGATTGCATTACGTTAATTTTGGATTACCTTAACACCAAGTATAAATATAAAAAAAATAAATAAATAAAAAGAAATATGATTATATTATTACAACAGAACAATGTAACCTTAAAAAATAAATGGGGAAACAAGCGCTAATATTTGTCCTCTGCTCAGTGTGTGTTTAAAGGAAAACTTTCTTTTCATTAAGCAAACTCAGGCAGTAACCTTGTTCACTAGAGGCCGTGGCTGTAGAGTAATATAACAGTTACAATTAAACTACAAATGAAAAAAAAAAATGCACAGGAGTGTCTTTATCAATTGACCAACTCAAACTGGTGTGTGTTCTGTAAGCTATCAACCTATGCCTCATCCCAGACTGACATTTGTATTTAAACACTTTAGTGATTGACATAATGAGTGCACAGTATTAAGTAAAGGTCAGAATTGTGATATCTCCAAAACCACTGATTTGATTATGATGAAAGTCGACGGGATGACTTCTGGCTTTTGAGGTCAAACTTTAACATTTTAAAAGGTCATGAGTTTTACATCACTTCTCTTAAAAACCAATCCATCTCGTCACTGTTGTGGGAATCTTAAAGTCCCATAGTTTATTTTCCTCTACAGTATTACTATTTACTTAAGATAAATATTATATTTGTTTAAAGATTCAGGTTCAGATTAGTGTCCTTGAATGTGTGAAAAACGAAGTCCTTCTCAGACATTACCGCTGCAAATTCCTGACTTTGCTTTGGAAACACATTTGATTGATATTCGACCTGATGTAGGTGGGAATATGAAATGTTAAAATCTGAAGCATTGAAAGGCCATAAATGCTCTGTCTGAGCTCTGACCTGAAGCTCCTCTTCAAATAATGTCCTTTGGCTTGTGCCCTAATTGGATGACAAAAATATGAAGTTGTAATATCTTGGCAGTTACAAAAATTAAAATAGGATTGATTTTAATGTTTAATGTTAATTTTAGTGTTGTTGTTTTTTATCACAGATATCCTGAATGGAGATAAAACAATCGACAGACGTGCATTAGGAAGGAAGGTTTTTGGAAACCAGGTAATATGACAAATATGAATAGCGTTTGCAAAATGACATCTCAGACTACACCACGGTATGTCGCCAGTTTACCAAAGATGACTTTTCTTCACGCAGGAGCGGTTAAAAGCCCTAACAGACATCGTATGGCCTGAGATTGCACTTCTGGTGAAAAGCAGAATCAACCAAGCCAGAGAGGAAGGTACTGTATGTGTTAATCTTAGTACTGTACTGTAGAACCATGTGATGGTAAACACGACCCAAATTATTGTGGATGTAGGGTGAAGTGTTTTTAGCCGTTGTGTAGCAGTGAAATTGTTTGTACACAATGAAAGTTTCCCATATGTTTCAACAGTTTGTGGAGAATTCAAAATGTATGTCAGTATTCATTTGTTTGACTTGAAAATGTGTTCAGGAAACAGTTAAGCTAGAGTATATCCAAAAAGCTTATCCTCTTCTAATCATTTTCCTTTAGTTGGGCTCATTGACTGATGCACAAATAATATAGAAACTGCCCTCTTGCTTTGTATTGGAAGAGATTCCCCCAGTGTTCACGTGATCCTTTGCTCTTTGCAGGTAAACAGGTTTGTGTGGTGGATGCGGCAGTTCTTCTGCAGGCCGGCTGGACGGACATGGTCCACGAGATCTGGGTCACTGTCATCCCCGACGAGGAGGTAATAGATTAAAATGAGTTATTACTGTATCCTTGGTTCATTATCAACCTTTGTATGTAGCAAAAAAAGCAGTTGCTGATACTACCACTGGGGGGCACCAAAGTTGGACATCATTCAATTCCACACTCATTGGCTTTAACAAAATAAACACCACCTTGCTAACCTAACCCACCGGCCTCCCCTTGTTTCCTCTCTCAGGCAGTGTCAAGGATAACGGAGCGGGACGGTGTGACCTCAGAAGATGCCCTGCGCCGGCTGCAGAGTCAGTGGTCCAACGCCAAGCAAGTAGAGCACGCCAATGTAGTCCTCAGCACACTGTGGGAGCCAGAGGTCACGCAGAAACAGGTCAGGCGCTCATCACGCTATCAGTATAGGGTCTACACATTTGCATTACATGAGAGAATTTGATTCTGTAATATAATAAAAGTTTGTTTTTGTAATAGTCTTCTTGTATTTTATTTAAAAAGGTACTGAAAGCTTGGGATCTTCTTCAGAAAAGAATCCAACAGAGGCAAAAGGGACAGTAGGAACATGTGTGGGTCACGGCATCATCTCAGCTGTAAGAGAACAAGCACATGTCGGGCCACAGGGACATGTGCGCACAAATGACTGATCCGCATGATGAAACGCTGCCTTAGAAAGAGAGTGGTTACTGTGCCATTGCAGCAAACCCAACGAGTTTCTTCGACCAAGACTCAGTGCCTGACTTACTTTCCATAGGTTTTGAAACACTAGTTTTATTTTAAGATGTTTAGTTGGATGAGGAAAAAAAAGACAACTCTTTGAATGATCCCTAACAAAGTAATTTATGGAATTTGAAAGCTGGAATTAATGTTTAGGATTAATAAAGTGTTATCTCAAGATTTGTAGGTCTGTTTTTATCCAAAGACTTTTTTATGAATGACCTGCCTTTAAATGGATACTGATGTTGAGATACCCATCATTTAGCGATCCTCGATAATATTAAGATCAAACCTAAGCTCAGCAAAGTCTAATATTTTGGGCGCCTTGTCAATTGCGAACACTTTAGTTCTGTCCTCTTTCCATGTCTTCTAAGTTTAATAAATATGAATGTAGCAAGAAAAGCAACTAATGGTAAGGGAAAGGTGAGATTTATTGAAAGATTGTACGATTTGCCATTGTTAAATCATAGAATAAATGTTTTAAATGTGTTTATCATTAGAGCTTCAGGGATGAGAGAATATGAACAAAATATTATCTAACGAGGAATTATAAATTAACAAACAAGGCACATCATCTTGTAGAAATATTATGTGCAAAAGATGAGGATAGTTTGTGATGTTATCAGTGTATCTTTCCTGTTGAATGACACTAAATAAATACACTGGGCACATTGATTAATAAATGAAACCTAAATACATAGAGGTATGTCAAGCTCTGGTGTGAAAAAGAGAAAAATGGCAATTATTGCATGATGTCTACACAAACTGAGCATTCAAATATTCATGTCTCTGAAAGTACGTGACGGCCAAGGGGCACAGCATATTGGAAACAAAGGTGTTAAGATTATGGTATATTTCATGTTGTCAGATCCTACAATAAAATCATAAACCAATGTTTACAAGAATAAAATCCTGCTTCATTGCTTTAGCCATACTTTAAATACTGCAAGGACTGTCCAATAAAGTGTAATGTGGTCATAGTGTCATTGATTTTTATCACCTTGTATGTCATCTGGAATACTTTAATAAACTGGCATTAAATGTTTTCAACCCCTGAGTGATTCCTGTCTTTTTCCATTAATTTCTAAGGCGTGGGCTTATACCAAATTTGTTTTCATTTTCATTAGCACGGATAATTTTATTTCAGGCTTTATGCTTAGTTTGAATTTGGGGGAAAAAAAAGTATGCTTTTTCAATAATTATTTCAAACAGTATTTCTTTTTCTAAAATTCAGCCTTTAATTTCAATGTCTTTAAAACATTTACATATGAATGACATTAGTATGTATGTGTGTGTATGTGCAAAATGTACATTTTTTTATGTGACCTGTATGATGTTGAGTTCAGCCCCTGTATCATGATATTACTTTCTTTCAGTACAACAAAACCTTGTGCATTGGTAATTGAACATTAAAAAAAGAATGCAGACTTAGTAAGTGCTCTGGTGACTTGTGAAACAAAGGGCTCTGTGTGTGTCCAAACCTTACTATCACCAAGACCACAGTACACCCCTTTTTGCCTTGAAATTATGTGTAAGCAGCCTTTCATGCGGCAGTGAATAACCGTCCACCCATACTGACATGTCCAGGCTTCATTCATCATCACTGAAATTAGTCTCCTCCTTTCCTTCCAAATGACAAAAATCTTAAGTGGTTGCCTCCACTGGTGTTCTTCACAGTCACATCCCCACTTTCAGTTTGGCAGAGCACATTGCTTCCCCAATCTTGTTGCTGGCCCTGCACACATAAACTCCAGAGTCAGAAGGCTCCAAATCAGCCACAACCAGAGAACAGAGCCCGTCTTCATGTTGTGCCATGTTCACTCTGCGAGATTCAGACACCGGCTTGTCATTCTGAAGCCACTTCACCTCCGGCTTTGGGTAACCTAGAATTGAGACATTAAGACATTACTTAAGAACTCAAAATAACATGACATCAAATATATCAACATCAAATGTCTAAATGAAAGAATAGGTGGTCATGATAAAACAAAGTGTTTTAGTATATTTTAGTATTATTCTATAAGAAAGGACAAATGGCTGTAACTGTTGCTTTTCCATTCAAGCAAGCCAAAATGTTAAGATACAGCTGTTCTAAATGTTTTAAAGCGATAGTTCAGAACTATAGAAAAACCTCTATCTATCTAGAAAAATATGCTTATTCCCTTTCTTGCCAAGAGTTAGATAGGACCAAGTACATTACACTTTATAGAGTAAATATTGACCAAAGGTAACAAAGGATTTCCTGTCATCGCTGTAAGGTTGCAAGGCAACCAGCAGAGACTCCCACAAGACCACATGTCATTTCCACATTTAACTTTGTACAGATTAAACAAGGGTAATACATGTGAATTAGTGATCTGCTAAGTAGATATCAGTTACCTTTGTTCAGAATCAGCTAGCTGTTCTGAACAGTAATGTTTAAAAAAAGTAAAATCACAACAATGAGCTGAAAAATGCTGAAACGCTCCATAGAACAGATGGGAACTGCAGAATAGGGCGATAATTATCTGTGGTTTTGTCCCTATGAGCGATCCCTTTTAAAAACATGTAATGTGATCCATATTCTATATAAAAATATGAATCATGGCAGCTTGTAGTTTAGCCAGTGTAGGTCTACTGCAATCAGAGCATTTATATATTTTACAGTATGGTCTTTTTTGCGTCTGCCTTTGGCCCTAGTAGAATGCGGTGGGGCATTTTTTAAATGAAGTGCATCACAGTTCTGTCACTCTACCATTGACAAGGCATGTTAGCTGAGCTGTTGCTCCTTTGGGAAGGGTGGTGTCCTTCAGGGCCTGCTGGAAGCGAGGTTCACTCTGAAGCTGTTTATCCAACGACTGGATGGCCTCCTCTGCCTCTTGGCTCCAGCCTGGCTCTGGATGAGAGGAAGGATGATGACGAATAAAACAGAAACAAGGCTTTACTGATCACATAAGGGTAAACTTGAAGTGACAATCGAAAACTGTGAGTCATCTGCCATATGTATGTAGCTGTAGGACATGGGACGCCATTGTGTGTGCGTGTCTTTTTATCTGTCTTACCCTCTGAGGAGCTGCCAGGAGAGTCTGGCCTGTTAGAGAGGTTAGCCATCCGCTGTAGGGCCAAAACAGCCTTGCCAGTTTTCTAAAAGTTTAAAGGACAAATCGCACTGGATGACAAACTACACTCCACTAACCAACCTTCGGGTCTATATATGGATTAAAAAGGTCATAATAGGGAAACACTGATAAGAAAATTGTACATCTGTCCAGTGGTAATTTGTCAGTGTTACCTTCCACTTGCGCTTGGCCAAAAAGCGTTTCATCTTCCCCTTATTGAGGGACTTAGTGGGTCTGCGGGTCATAGGGGTAAAAGAGACCATCCAGGGGTGGGCGAGGGCCCCGGCACATGACAATCTGCATCTGGAGTGAGAGTGGTGGGAAAAAACAAAGGCTGTCAAATGCTGCCAGACCCTGACTCCCAAACTCATATCAGAGCTCGCCATAAATGGTTTGGTACCGTGCAAAATGTTTTTGCAAGTGATTGGAATATGTTGATAATCTTGAATCTAATAATATGACATTATCACCAGAAGAGAATCAAAGCACCATCGTCAATTTTCCTTACTCTTGTAGCCATTTCCCATAGGTAGAGAGCTTGACAGTTTGTAGCAGTTTGCGAACATGAAATGAAAATGAAAAAAGAAAATCAGACCAACCTCCGGTCTTTTTTCAGCAGGGAGCTGATAAAGTCTTTAGCTTGATCAGAGATGTCCTCAAAACTCTCCTGGTCAAACTCATAGCAGGCAGTAGTCACAAGAGCAAGAGTCTCAGCATCGCTGTTCCCCTGGAAGGGAGATTCTCCACTGAGCCTAAGACACAAAACAATATAACAATGAATCAGACATACAGTATGTCATGTAAGCTTACCTAAGTGTCAGGTTTCTCCACAGACAGCATTTCCTCATCTCTAGTGTTTGTAACCATTAACAAGGGAAATATTATTTTTAACTTTGGCCTGAGTTTATTATCCCCTTAAGCTACTACTGGGTATCGCTGAAACTGTGCATACTTTAAGAATGGTAGCACTAATGTTGTTATGGAGGATTGTAGTAATACACTATCACCAGGAGATGGCGCCAAATCTATTTGTAGTATCATTTGGATAGAGTTGACATAATTAACTAGCATTATTGACATAATCCTAGTTGGGAATGTATTACTTTTAACGTGTAAAATGATAAAGAAATAATAAATACAAGACATTTATTTATTCCTTTAAGTTTTTTTATATCCCACATTTTATGAGCACTATTAAACACCTTCTAGGATTACAGTTTTCCCTTCCACTTCCACCCCGAAGCCCCAGTTAAATGTTTTCTTTTAGTGTACATTACTGTACATTACTGTGGCTACAGTTTAAACCACTACATCCTTTGTTCGACTTACAAAATGAAGCAGATGACTCCAATGCTCCACATGTCCGTCTCCAGGCCCACAGGCTCATAGTTGATCACCTCAGGGGCCACAAACTCCGGCGTACCATGCATCACCATGAGAGGTTTATGCTCCTCTAAAGAAGAGAACAAGAGTAAGAAACACATTCAGAAATCCAAAATGTCACCCTGAATGTTTTGTATTACCCTATTTACAGATGGCTCTAGTCATCTCTAAATAGACCACCCAGAGTGGAGCTTCAGCAGATTTTCTGCTTGAATTGGCTTCACAGGCTTTACTGCATTTATTGAGTTCAGGTAGTCTATTTCAAGGAGCTGCTATTACGTAATAAGTATTTTAGACACCTAGGAATTTAGAGACGACATGCCTTGATGATATCTTTGTTTTTTCTTCTGGCATGTGTTAAAATGAGTGATCTTTTGTAGACCTTGCTGTGTTGTCGAGATAACATCATACCTCTCAACACATACTGACAGGGTGATATATTATTATATTTGCAAAGTTGTATTCAGCCACAACAACAAGAACAGGAAGCATTTCATTCTCCGTGCTGGGAGCACAAGGCTGCACAAAGTTAATGACACCAAGTTCGACTGCCTGACGCCTTATAAGGACTCTTGGATTTCCCTGTATTGTAACTTTTACTAGAATACAAACAGGATATGTCAGTCGTTAGAGTACACACATTATTCACTGCCCCTGGTGAGCAATTGTAAAAGTTATAAAAAAATAGGTCCCAGTGAGAGATCCCAGTGAGATCTTTATGAGACTGTTTCCACAAATCCAGCAAACTCACCCAGTTTACTAGCCAAGCCAAAGTCAATGATCTTGATCCGTGTACCAGTTGTATCCACACAGACGATGTTCTCTGGTTTGAGGTCCAGGTGGACGATATTCTGTTTGTGGACGTACTGCATGGCCTCCAGGATCTGCTGCATGTAGCGGGCACTGGTGGGCTCTGTGTGCTCAAAGTTGTCATCCACGATGCGTTCAAAAAGCTCCCCACCTGCAATACTGGGAAGACAAATAACACCATTCAGAGCCATGCTTCAGAGAGTAGTAGCAGTATTTCCCATATGGTTTTCTGGCATTTTTTTTGTCTTTTTGTAATAGTCACACTAAATCTTCTGCATCATCTCCATATACAGTATGATTTTACCAGATCAAACTCACTGTTCCACTCCACAATTACTTACTACTCCATGACCATGACCATCTCTGAGCGTGTGTCGTAGGCAGCCAGACACTGGACCAGTTTTGGGTGGTGAAGACAGTTCATTAGCTCGATCTCTTTACGAGCTGCGTCCCTCTCCTTGGAGGTTCGGGCGCGGTAGAACTTACCCGCACACACCTGACCCGTCTCTTTGTGGGACAACCGGAACACTTGGCCAAACTTCCCACTGGAAATATAAGGGCATTATAGCTTCACTTCACTTGGAAAGTCAATTTACATGAGAATTATCAGAAGTGTATCATCTGGTGCGTTTAAACTTTGTTTAAATACAGAGAATCAATGCTTACACTCCCAGCTTCTCATGCACACTGTAGTGGTCCTTGACCTTGTGCTTGGTGTCAATGGTCACCGTGATGTACGACTCAGGCGCTTTCTTCTTTTCCTCTTTAAACACAAACAACGATAATTAAGCACATCCCTCCTGACAGACAACAGAAAAGTAAAACCTCAAATCTTATTTTTTATTTTAAAAATCACTTACTTGCAGTTGCCATCTTGATACACTCAGACTCGTGGCTTGGTTCGCCGACCCCTGCTGAGTTGTAGGCTCTGACACGGAAGCAGTACTGCCCCTGAGGCTCGAGACCTGAGCGGACGTGGTAGGATGTGTTTTTACAACGGCTTATTACTTCAGTCCAGCTACCAGGCTCGTCCAGGCCCTCTTGTCTGACCTCCACGATGTAGCCCAACACGGCTGTGCCTCCGTCATAGCTGGGACCCGTCCAGGACAGGACCAGGGACTGACGGGACAGCTGGGAAACAACGGGTTGGGATGCTGGTGGGTCAGGTCGGTCTGAAGAGAACCAAGAACAAAATATCTACATTTGAATCACTGACAGGTAGCCACATTTTCTTAGTTTATATTATGGTCCTAAACTGCCACCTTTTCCTTCTTCAATATATGTTGTCAGTTTGTTAAATAAATCCACATCTCTGCAACAAGAGGGACTAATAGGAGCATTCATGTCTGAGCATGCATTTAAGGGACAACAAATACCAGTGTTGCATCATCTCAAGTCACAAGAACTCTTGTTTAATTGTCTTGCCTAATTATCTAAATACTAAACCGTAGACCGAAACGAGTCTTACCTATGACACTGAGGGAGACTGTATGCTGGGCAGAGCCTTTTCTGTTTCGTACTATGACTGTGTACGAGCCTGTGTCGGCTGGACAGGCCTGAGAGACCTCCACATCGCTCTGTGTCTCACTGCTCCTGACAGACATCCTCGGCCCTCCTACTACTACCTGAAAAGGAGGCAAAGTAAAAACACACACTAAGACAAAACCCTTTACTGGCACACAATTTGAAAGTGAGAGTAAAACAGTGATGGATCAAACAATACAAACAACCACCTTGTCTTTGTTGTAAATCCAACAGCATGCGACAGGAACAGAGCTGCTCCTGAACTCACAGTGTAGCCGGGCCTGCTCTCCTACACGAACCTCCACCTTCTCTGGTGGGTCTAGAAACTCAACAGGAGGTCCTGAGGAGAAGCAGAGTTTAACATGATTGAGGAGTGCACTAAAATTAAGCTTTTACCTAAATAGCTTACATGTTGTGGCTTCCCCCTTCACTCACCTTTGCTAGTGGAGACTTTTGTTTGACGGTCTGTGATATCTGGGGACAATGAAGAAACAGGTGGACTTACAGGCGGACTTAAGAAGAATCTAACCAATCACATGTGAGCAGTCATGTTTGGTTGCAGCGGCACTGCAATCAAGGGCCGATGCACTTCTGAATGAAAAAGTGGCTGCTGGACACCATTTTGTCATAGACTGCAACAGGTCCAACTACATGTTTTATTTACTAAACAAAATGCCTGTCATTGACAATGTATTTTTGGTGCTGCTTCCCTGTCCACAGTTATCAGCATACTTCCTATTCATTTGCATTATTTCCTCAAATGAATTAAAAAACGTAGTACAAAGAAAGGCAGAAAGAAGGGAGATTTTAATGGGTGTGTAACAATACAAAGGAAGTCTGATAAAAGTTTATAATCTACCTTTGTCTTCTTCTTCTCTGTGTTGGCTTTTATCTTTAGAGGCTGAGGACAGCTGGGTGTTTTCAGGAGACACCACCTTGAATGTGACCTTGCTGTGAAGCTCGTGTTTGCTTGTTCTGGGGATTTCCTTTGTTGCTGTTACATTGCAAACAGGGTATAACAGGTTTACTGTACACAGATCAATTCAATATGGTTCTCCTTAGGACAGGTTATACTGTGCTCGATGTTTGTGAGGAATTTCTAACTCGACAATTACCTGTGATATGTGGCACAGCACTGCTTGACTGTTTCCCAGCAGTGTTCTCAGCTACGCAAGTATATGTCTCATCATCTTCAGGTGAACACTGAGTCAGAGCCAGGCTGGCATCACTTTTTTTAAAGGAAGTATTATTTGAAGGCACCCTCTCACCTAAATGACAAAATAACAAAGGCATACTTTCAGTTTGTCTGTTAAAATTCCTCTTAATACAGGATATTGTTGCTTTGGATTCATAGTGGAGAGCAGACAGACATTGTAAAGGTAAGGCAATTAGTAATTTACCATTGTGTTGCCAGGAAACTCTCAGAGGCCGACTTCCTGTGATAACACCTTGAAAAGCAGCATCATTTCCTTCACAAACAGTGACGGTACAGTCGCCGAGAGGTTGCTTGAAGTGAGGCGAGTCCACCGCCTGGACAGTCAGCCTGGAGACTAAGCAGAGAGGAGAAGTTGAGGACAATAGGTTTGTAAACTGTATACACCAGTGTTTCCTCTACTGCTGACCAATCATGATGGGTCAACTCATTTAACACAAAAACTCTAACAATTGTTATGTCATGCAAAGACATGATGTAACCGATCAAACTGTAGATTAATCTGAAATGCACCATGTCAAAAAATTTAAATAAATAACTGTATATGATAATCATCTGTTTTGCCTTCAGGCAGAGAAGTATTTTAGTTCATCAGTTCCCTGTGGCTGTATCTACTGCAGTATGTTACATGGTGTTTACAAGATTTTCCCATGCACATGTGTGTTTGCACACGTGTGTTTTGATCCTGGAATGTCCGGCAGGGTGGGTAATGGGTGGTCACCAGCTGATGGTGGAATGCCATTAGTGTGCATTTGCATTTGGGGGGGAAAGGGGAGGCAGCTTGCTTGTCATACACTCTTTCTGACTACAACATTATCACATTAATTACAAAATCAATATATTTCACAATAATCCTGGTCAGTAGAGAGAGCTGCACCCTCACTATTGTTTTGAGAAGTAGCAATCCAGCCTCAGGGGAGCTCACTACATCTGTGTACAATTACAGATATGCCTTTGCAATGCCCTCATGTAAAGCATTCAGGTTAAAGAAGTTCAGATTAAAACATGAAGCGCTTGTAGGGGCTGCAGAGGGCTGAGGCTCTGTATTGGGTGTCACTGTGTTAAATATAGGCTACTGAATACATTCCACTTATATTCCAGTATTAAACAATCAGTCCACATCATTAAAATTAAAAGGTAAACTTTTCCCCTGTTCTTCTAGTCTTTACCTGTTGCAGATGAGACTTGCAGTTTGTCGTTTCCCATTAACGTCCTTTTAGTGGTATCCAGTCCATCCTTTTTCTGCTTCTCCACACAGAAAGGTCTGGCTTTAGGCTTGAGGGCCAGCCGGAAAGTTGACACATAGGTCTTTGGCTTCCTATCGTCGCTGTCCATCCTTGAGCAGAAATGATAACCAGACAAGAGCTGAGTTTCCTCATCAGTCAGACCTCCTCTTCTTCTCTTGGTTGTGGTTTGTTGTACTCAGTATATACATATAGTGTGAAGCTGATGTGTTGAATGTCTCTGTTCACACATCCTCTGAGATACTAACAGGAGGAGCCTCTGCTTTCAGGCTTCATCTGAAATCACCACCCACCTCTCAGCCCCACTGTACACAGGAAACCAGAAACCAGTTTTATCGGAAGGCCAATTAAAAACACACGTCCAGCCCTCTCTGTCCCTCTGCGCAGAAAACAGAGGGAGAGAGACAGAAACACATGTGATAGAAACAAAAGAGATAGTAAGAGAGGGTAGGAAACGTGTGGGTGAGGCAAAACATTCAAGCTGAAAAGAAACAGAGAACAATAGGGTGAATAGTGATAAAAGAAACACACCAAAGGAGGATTAAAAAAAGCACATTTTACCTGGTGGACCTCTTCATAAAAACTATATCTCCTCTCAGAACATAGGTACAGATCCCCACCGTCAGCTACTTTGAGCCATTTTACCCCCTGTAAACACTTGGTAAACTGTAGATTGAGTAACTCTGCCAGAGCCACCGCAGGAATCAAGAAGAGCCTGTGGGGCAGCTTTCTGTAGCTGTGCTACATGTAAAAACATCAGTGAAGTTCCGTGGATTTCTGGGTAGAGTTTCTTTGAATGAAAGTGGAGGAGTGATACCATGTGACCGTAAACAGTAAATTTGTAAATTAATTCTATTGATATGGGTATAAGGAAGAGCAGCTGGTTGGGTGTGTATCCAAGGTAAGCTCTCATTTACTTGTGGCTGAATGGTTGTCTGGTTTTCTCCTATCCATATTCAAAGCCTGTGAATGTAGCTGATTTTGTTTGCTTTTGTTCTGTAACTGCTCTGAAAAACAATGTTCCCTCAAGGTTCGCAGACTTAAATCTTATTTCACTCATTTGACATCCACTGCAGTGCTTTGCATAGGGCCTTCAAATTCTCAGATGACGAAATGCAGCATCATAGAAAAGTGTTTAAGAGCTTAGTTTATTGTTTCATTTAAAATATGTTAATAATCAAAGAGGAATAACCAGGGCTTGTGGATAATTGTTCAAAAAGAGGGGGAACTAGTCAAAGTCCAGGTCTCCTGCTTCCTCACAGTCAGTTGGCAGCTTTACACTTAACCACAATACCTGGAGTGGACCCTGGCCTGCACGCAGAGTAACACAGAGCAATGAGTGCCAACCGTGTTTGTGTCTGCTTGTGGCATAAAGACCACAGAGCAGAGGCACACCCAGTGGCATGGTCACACCAGCAGCCGCACACTGAACCAAAGGACAACTCTTTTCATCTCGTGTTTCATTCACTTGTTTTAGGTTTCTTCAGATTGGACTGCACCATGTTCTTTCTGCATGGGGAAGGACAGTTTTTTTTTTTGGTTTGAGTTTTGTTATTATTTATTTGATAACTGCGTTTCAAAATTGTTCTTTCATTCAGTTGATGTTAGATATTATATAATATTAATGCTACACTGACATGTTTTGTGGTTATTGTAGTTTGTTTACATGGTCATGTCTCTGTCTTTCCCCTTGTGTGTCTGAATGGTCTGATTAGCCACAATGTCTCAGTTTGTTAGGTTAGTTTGTGCTGTTCAGTGTCTTTTCTGTTAGTGCTTGAGTTTAGTTTGGTTATGTTGACCTCTTCTTTGGGCTTCTTAGTATTTTGGGGCTTTTTTTTTTGCTTCTCTAAATTAAAAAATGTCTCTCTGGTGTACCAGCTTGGTCTGTGACACGCAGACACACCTGCCTTCAATCAACCCAATGAATTACAGGTATTGGCTCACTTCAAATGTTAAATCAATGTTCCTGTTGATTGTGAGATAAATAAAATTCCACCTTTTATAGTGCATATTTATTAGGCAAGGTTCCATTTATTGTAATATATGGATCATTATTATTTGGATAGACCTTATACTGATATGGGACTGCACACAAAGGGCCTATATTCATATTTGAACAAATTATGAAAATTATGGAAATATGGCTGGCTGACAACAAATTATTCTTGTGCAGCCTGCTTATAATACTCCCACAATAACATTATTGGCATAATATTTTTTCTGTAAGCAACCCTTAAACAAATTTGTTGTTGTGGTTTTAAATGGACACATTTCACTCAGTAGTGGTCACAAGAATGTAAGGAAGCAGTTACACGGGTATGGTATGTGTAAGTAGTACCATATGGTGGGAGGCACATAATGTACTTAAGAATACAAACACATCGCCCCCCAGCACTAAAAGCGGGTTGATTGATGGACCAGATATCAGCAAAGACTTAACTGTTTACTGATGGACAGACTCGCTCTACTCACATCTACGCCCTTCAGTATTTAAAGAAAAGTCCCAAATGCTGTCTAACACGCACACAAGCACAAACATTTGCAATTTTTTTTCTCTCAGTGAAAACTGTTTAGAAAGATGTGGTTCAAAAAGTAAATAAAGACTGATGTAAAGCAAAGAGCCCTGGAGGAACAGTGAAGTTAAGAAGAAAGGGTTTAAAGTTCGAAGGCTCTTAGCTAAACTGTGTTACAGGTATATACAATTATATTACCAAGATTTAGTAATATATATATTATCAAAATATATTTTCCAATCACAGGAAACACAGGAAGGTGGGTAAATTAGTTTTAGTTTACTAAAGCTAGTTGATTAACCAGGTTGGTTTGGCTGTTACCTGTTTTGTAGTTCCATTTTTAATGTGTTTTTCTTGTTTTTGTTTCCTTAATTTTTATTTTTCGCCCAAAAATCTCTCATGCTCTCACAGCCCAAAAATGTATTTACAGCATTTTGGATTTGTATACTATAAGACTGTTTATTCCTGGTTTTCTGTTCTTTAGGTTCACATTAATGAGTCGGATCTGATTAGTTTTGCAGTGTATAAGGATAATAAATAAAACAACATCAGAGCACATGACATCACTTTTGAAAAATGTGGACTAACTGTGTACAGGTCCTCTAAGCTTTGGCACATTCTTTAGAAAGAGCCATATAAGGTGAAAAGACACCACAGAACATGCTATTAGCTGTAGTGGATTCTGTGGTACTATATATGGACCCTTCCACTATATAAAAACATCATTATTGTACAAAGAGATTGGATTTTATTTTCTGTTGAGGAAATGGCACAACTCCACTTCGACTTCTTATCCTTATCGGACGGAAATTATACAAGGTTTTTTTGAAGGAGACTTATGGAATTCAAAACAGGAAGAGCGAAAGAGTGGGAAGGACACTGTTCTCTCTCTTTACTCCAATTATGGCAATAATTTTACTTCCTTTTCCCATGAAGTCCTTCAAAGACACACAGGCTATCTTGTTCCCACCAAATCCTTCAAACACATGCCTATTCCATCACTCCATTAAAGGGGAGTGATGGCGACCCAAATATTAAAGATATTTGTTCATTTAAAAATAAGTGGAATGGGGCCCTCCTGTGGTTGCACACCTCACGTTACAGAAATAACCAAAAGACTGTCAACCAACGTCAATTCCCAGACGTTGGTCAAACCAAGACAACTATACATTTAAAATAACAAAATTTGTTTTTTAAGACAGTGATGCAAACTCAACTTACTCGTACTCCAAAAATATTCGTCTTTATCTCCTCAGCCTGAATTTATTTGCAGGCAAATAAGAACAAGTAGATAAGGCCGCATGGAGAGAGAGCCTGTGATGAGCAGATAGAAAGACAAAACCACACACTCATGTCAACTATTCTCTCGCCAGACAGACAACCCTCTGTGTGTCCTTCTAATAATTACAGTTTCTGGGGTAAAACTTTGTGACTCAGCCAACAACTGAGTCGGTTTTGTCCTGATCGTTTCCCTCATATACATTCAAAGAGCCTGCTGTGATTCTGCTGTGTTAATGAGGGCAGTGTAGAGAACAGAATTTTTGATGCTATGTCTGAAATTAGAAAGCAGCATGGTCCTTCACAGCCTGATGCGCTCTGGCTCGAGCTCTAAGAAAGCAGCAAAAAAAGGGGGGGAGAGAGCAGGGGATGGAGGAAGAAAAAGACGTGACTGGATAGAAAGAGATGTGAAGTACAGAGGACACTCTGGCAGTGTGTCACAAGCATCCCGGCCGCTCGCTCTACTGTGACAAAGATTATTGCGCTGCAGCCAGAGGCCTCGGTCCTGTTCCAGCACGTGGAGTCCGGTCAGTGCTCCATATGTTGGTGGAGAAGCTCTGGGGAAAAACTTGGTCCTCGAAAAGGATGGAAGGAGCCCAGAAGCAAGTTCCAGTAGTCAGACAGCTTTGAGTAAAGCTGTGACAGAAAGAAACTGCATTTCTGTATTTATTTAAGAAGAAGATTCATGTTCTCTTGTTATTTTTTTATTTACATATAGAAATATGTTTGAGTAGTTTAATTGTGCAGTAAAGTGGGACAGAATAGTTCATAAGATTTGTATATCTGTATTACTTAGGCAAGGAAATGGACAATCATCTGAACTGTAGGAGAATAAAAATAAAAGCTTTTCATGTAACAATACAACTAACTGTTTTATGTTATTGAGCATGTGTAAAAGGGCCTCTCATGATGCAAAGCTTTGGCTTTTTCAGCAGACCCTTTAAAAATCTCACAACTGATGTTGGTGTGTATAAAAGTCAGATATATTATAGGCATTATAGTAAACAAGCTCATCCAATTGGCTGATAATATTCACAATACACACAGTACTTTTTGCTCTTCATTAATGCTACTATTCAAATAGTCTAACAGGGACTTTATGTTTTCATGTGATATATCTGTTTAAGCTTTATCGGGCTACCTGTGCATTTTCATAAAGTCATGTGACACACTCACCACTGTATTACATTTAGTTGCTCAGCCTGTATCTCATCACACTCCGTCTGCTACTTTCTGTCTGTTCTCAGTTATCTTTTAATACAGTACTAACTTGGACTGCCCGCATCAAGTGCTCACAATGTGCAAGTGTTGCAGCCTCAAATGCATGTTCATTTTCTTCAATGCACTGTTCTTGGTAAGTTAATGAATGAATGAAAGTATCGGTAACAATGATTGATAACAATTATGATTAAAAAGGTTAAATAAAGTGGGATTTAAAAATAAGTCATGTTATTAGTAGTGTTATTATTTTTTAGATTTTCTACTAAACTGCTTCTACAGCATTTATTTTATATTGATATGAGTGAATTGTACATCAAATTAATAAATATGGAAAAAAATGTGCTGTGACTGTAATACTTCATTTGTCTAATTTTTAAAAATGTATGCGAGGAAATACAAAAGACGACACAGGACAGTGGAAGTCATTTGTTGCATCATTTGAAAGAGAATTAGAGGATTAATTTGTTCTTCCAACCATATCAAACATTATTCATAATAGATGGTCTCAGGGGCCTCAGCAGAGGGAACTGCAACAAGTCATAATAATAATCACTCCGACTCATGGACGGATGTGCTGGCAGGGTGTCATGGGTGAGCACACAGGAGCCCAGCACGCTACTGGGCTTCTTCCATGTGCAAAACGAAAATTAATAAATGGGAAAGTCCTGATTATTAAGTGGTATAGATAAAAAATGTAATCCACCAGCACAGAACATATAAACCTTTTTTTATTGTTAATTTAGAGAAAACTTGTTTTATACTTTGTTTATAGGAAAAATGACAGATTTTTAGCAACACTGGCCGATTTGGAGGGTTTAAAGTCAACATTTTAAGCCAACTGTATGCAGAAAATGTTACAAGAAAATATGATGATGGACAATTTAAAACCAGATTTCAGTGTTTATTCTCATTTTGGTAATTTTCACAGATTAAAAAACTTCCCTTTCTTTGCTTCTGGCTTCCTCCTTACAATGATTTTAGCTCCATGTTACTGCAGGTTGGCGGTCGACTTGGTTCATGGGTTTAATGTTGCAATATAAAGCATTAATTCTCCAGTTTAAGTTTGTCTTTTTCAGGCATCTGGGGTTGCCCTAATCACCATCGGAGCACTGCAGTACACGACTTACTTACAGATGGGAACTTTTGCAGGCAGCGGCCTATCTAAAATCGCTATAGTCCTCATTGCAGTGGGTGTCACCATAGCCCTCATCTCCCTCCTGGGCCATGCTGGGGCTTTCTTTGATAATTCTTCTATGGTGGCTTGTGTAAGTAACATAACACTCCTTAATGAGTTTGAGATTGTTTTCTCATAGATTTTATTGAGAACATGCCTGTGGGTCAATCTTGTGAGGACGTTGGATGTCAATATTTCAGTTCTGGATTTTTGTGGTTGAACAGCTGGAAGTAGATTAAATATTTCTGTCTCCGTCCAAAATGTTTGGTCAGAGCCACCAGAGAGGTTTCAACAGATGTATAATTTACAGTTTTACTCATTATCATTAGAAGATACGTTGGAAAATTGATTTAAGGGTTCTTTTTAAAGGGATATGGGACGTGACTGACCTCTAACCCTGCTCTCTTGGTCTCTTTATGAATAGTTCATCTGTATCCTGATAGTGATCATCATATTGCAGATACTCACAGGGGCCGCCTTTTACATATTCCGCAGCAGGGTGAGACACTTAAATCCTACCCATGAAGACATTATTACAGATCAACATCAAGCCATTAACAAATGCTCACATCATGTCTGCAGACTGCCCTCCTGCAGATGAACAGCGCTATCAACACTAAAGCACGATTGGTGATCTATGAATACAGCCCGGAGAACAGACACGCCATCAACAGAATTCAGGAAAAGGTGCCATGCAGAGATGCTTTGTGCTTGTGTTTGATGATGACTGGAGAGAATGTGTAATACATGATAGGGCAAATTAACCTACTATAGAGGGTATAAAAATAGCGTAAGCTGTGTTGTTTTCCCCTAGTGTGTTTGAATGTGTTTGCATACTTGAGTCCATAAACAAATTTTGGATTTCCATAAATTGGGAATGACTGGAAAGCTGACCAACATACTTCATGGCACCCCTGCTTAAGTCTGTGCCTAACTTGTCCCAGTCAAAAACTCTGGAAGCGCCCCTGTGTGTTAGCATATTTGACTAAAATATTCAGGAATTGGCATCATGTAAGCACAATACAGAATGAAAGTAAAACCCTTCTACAAGACGGGAGAAAGTAAGAATGCAGGTGTTGCCTTCAGGCACTTATTAAAGCCTCCAGTCCTTCTAAAGGTCCTGGTAAATAAACTGATTTGTTTAGTTATTCAAATTGAAATGAAATTGGTAATAAACCCAATTTGGATAATAATGAAATGCTCCGTGTCAATCATGACTGAAGAAGCAGTAAGGTACTGAACAATGTGTCCTTTGTTAAGACATTTTCAACACCAACTAAAATTATTGTACACAGATTGTTTCTATTTGACACTTCATTTCACTTGCTCTTGTGTACATTGAAACAGTCTTTGGTCGCTGTAGTTGTCCTTTTTTGTCAATACTGGCCATGAAGAGATGTTTTCCTAATAATATAAAAAGATGAGGGGGGAAAACATCCATAGTTCAATGTTTGTGTGGGAATTTTACCTACAGGATTTCTTCACCGCCAGTACAAACAGGAGGAATGATTACAGTTTTTTACAGTGCACCATGAATAGACAGATCCACAAACACTAGAGACAACATCAATGCAATCTTCATGCTTATACCCTGTCACAGTTCCGCTGCTGCGGTGCAGACAGCAGCACTGACTGGTCTAGGAGTGTGGGCTGGGAAAACCACGATGCTGTGCCAGATTCCTGCTGCGTGGTGAAGAGCGAGGGTTGTGGACAGAACCAGGAGAAAGTACACACAAAGGTCTGCTGGGAGATTTCAGTTTAAAGTTCATAACCATTTCATCTCAATTCTGTGACCAAATGATACAGTTATGTTATGATGTGTGCTCTTCTCCTCAGGGTTGTGTTTGGGCTATCAAACTCTTTCTGTTGAAAAACCTGGTGTGGGTCGGGGCTGTCTGCATCGCTCTTGGACTCACAGAGGTAAAGTGTTGGTGGTTTTGATTTTCAAATTCAATATTATGTGAAATATGTGTCTTGCATTAGAGAAAGTCATGTTAAAGGTGATACATTATACTTTCCTGAGGGGGTTTAAGATATTTGTTGTGTGTCATCCACCTCTTAATGCCGTTGGTTTAGTTAATTTCTCATTGATCAGCAGGAAAAAAGATGAGCCATAGTTAACCCATTTTCATCTGTTGTCCCTGGCAACAAGGCAAAAATGTCAGTCTGATAAAAATAGAATTGCACGTTCCCTGCAAGATTTAGTAATTTATTTAAATGAATTATTTATATGCACTATTCCAACAATTTTCATAAGAGCATGTTCATGTAAGCAATGGTAAGGCAGACATTTGAAAAGTAAGAAGAGGATAGCATGAATGATAATAGAGCCTATCTCATCCTGTTTGCCTCAGGAAGTGAAATCCAGACTTAATTAGAATTTACAGAAAGAGAAAAGAATCTTTTTGACCCGTCTCTGAGTTCATTTGCTGCCAGTAACTTATAACCTTTTTACCTGTTGCAGGTTTTCGGAGTGTTACTTGGGGTGTGCTTGTGTCTGCAAATAAAACAAAAAAACTATGAGAACCTGGGCTGATGTGTCATCGTGCCCTAGCACAGCCGACTTCCCACATCACTGACTGTTATTCTTTTGTTCAGATTTGATCTATTTTATTAGATTTTCCAGTTTATTCTTGCTAGACTGTGCTTTAATATGTCCAAACTGTCTCTGATTCATAAAATCTGACATAAAGTTTAAACATGTGGTCCTTATGATCATTGATATGGTACTGTTTGCGCGTCCTCTGTAATGTTATAAGGAGTTCGGGTCTAGAACCTGCTCTATTTGAAAAGTGTCCTAAGATAACTTCTGCTTATGAATTGCGGGCTATACAAATAAAATTGAATTGAATTGAATTGATATGTTTATTTGACTAATTGAATTGAATCTGTTACAGTCTATGACATTGAAAACACCTCTTATTATAATTTTTTTATTTAAAACTTTACTTTAAATTTTCATGCATACTATGAATATTTTCAATAAATGTGTGCTACATTCTGATTTAGTGGTTCAATGTGCACCTTTAACAACCGACTTTTCATGTGATGTTTTTTTTGTGTTAATTTTGGATAGGTTTGTGACAGATAAGGAGTTCAGTACTTTGACTTGACGGCTTCAGGAGCGTAACAGTTTCTTTTTAGCCAGGAACATTGAGCACTGTGTTGGTCGCGTCATGGACCTTTGAACTGAGCTGGAGTTTGGTTCAGACTGAGCATCGTTACTCTCTCTGCAGACTAGTCTGAGAGCAACAGGTTATCAGATTATTGCCATCTTTGAATCTCATCTGAATAACTCTCACTAACTAATAATAAATGGCCGCAACATAATGTAAAATTAAATCAGCTGACTGTGGTAGTAATGGAAATACATTTCCTCCAGCACTGTACGAAAGTACAAATTTGAGTACTTTACTTTAGTGTTTCCATTTTATGCAATTTTATACTTCTACTCCACTATCTCAGAAGCAAATATTATAATTTTTATAAGCTTTAGTTACTAGTTACTTTACAGATTACACACTTTTATACCCTTTCTGTCTGGTAAAAACTATGCATCTCTAAATATGATGATAGCTACTTCTTAAGCCAAATAAACTATTTTAAAACCCTACTGGATTATTTGAAAAATGCATTGACACGAAGCTGAAGACAGGCTGTTTTTCTGAGCTCATGAAAAGTTGTCTTTTTTTAAACAGTGACGCTACTAAAATATGATGATCTTATAGAACATTGCATTTCTGTAGATTAAACTAACATTACATAAAATGTGCATAAAGTAGATAAAATCAGCCATAAACAACTACAGCAGGACAATGCAGCACACACATTAATGCAGCAGTAATGTTAATCCAAAAACATCATATATAGTAAAACACTGACAGGCACCATTTATTGCAGAATGAGCACTTTTACTCTTTGTAAGTCTATTTTAAGTGCATTTCTAAATAATACTTAAATACTTTTACTTAACTAAGGTTTTGAATTCAGAACTTTTTACTTGTAGTGGACTATTTTCACTAACTTAACTCATTCATGTTCACCAACCTACAATTCTTTCTAAGAGGATACTATGAAAAGCGATAAAGGGACAGAATATCAAGAATTTGGGATGACGCTATTGCGTGTTGCTGTTTGGTTCCCAATTTCTTTGACTTGTGTCCAAACTATCATCACATGCTGTGTATTTTTATGAGTTTTTAGCAGTTCAGCAAAACAGCATTTTTTTAATTTTAATGATATAAATATAACTTAAATAACTTAACTTTTTAATTAAGAGTGGAGAGGTAAAATTATCCAATATTTAAGAAAAAAAATAGGCCTATTAGTGACAATATGGTCCGTATTTTTATTCTTCTATTTAGCAATACCTTGAAATAGATCTAATGGCTATTTATGTCGTAAACTACATTTCCCAGAAACCCTTTAAAGGGGAAATGCATCCGCTCTTTAAATATGTCCGACCAGTATGAGCACGAAAAGTAACGTGTGCTCCTCTGACCCAGAAAACTGACTGAAAACACAAGTTTATGAGCAACAGTGAGACTAAAACTAAAGGTAAAGAAACAGTTTCATTGCGTTGTTATAAAGATACACACTGTTGGTCATTATATCCTTTTGCTTTGTAACAAATCACACTTGCTAACAGACTGTGTAGCATGTAGCCGGTCAACATACAGACTCAATCTAGTCTAAATATTGTGATCATGTTTGAACCATGTAAAAGTACAAATTATACTGCTTAACTTGGTTTTACCATGTAAACTATATAAAGAAATATAAAGCATGTAGCTGAGATGTATCAGCTACCAGAGGTATTCATTATCTGTAGACATATTCCTCTTTAAATGGTCTCTCTTCTCACTTATTTATGAAGCAGCATGTCAGAGGCTTTCATCCAGCGAATAAAGGATCTGGAGGCAGAGCTGGAGAAGCTCAGGTCCCAGCAGAAAGAGAGGAGCGAAGCTGGAGAAGACGGGGAGCTGGTGTCCAACCCGTCTCCGGATGAGAACTGCAGAGCTGATGGCAGCGGTAAAAAGGGCAAGAAAGCAAGCAAAGAGCGTCCTTTCGACTTCTCGGCCCACCCTCGGCGCCACGTGGCCCTGCGGCTGGCCTACCTGGGGTGGTCCTACCAGGGGTTCGCAGTTCAGGAGAACACAGACAACACTGTGGAAGCCAGACTCTTCGAGGCGTTGCTAAAGACGCGGCTGATTCGGGACAGACAGAGCTCCAACTACCACCGGTGTGGTCGCACTGATAAAGGAGTCAGTGCGTTCTCCCAAGTGAGTGTCGCTGAGACTCACTCCAAAACAAAAACAATACAGGGCCCTTGTAAATCTCTCCTAAACTTGCCTCTCATCCACAGGTCATAACCATCGATTTGCGCTCCACACAGTTTTGTGGCGGACTGGGCGTCACACTCCCTGAAAACGTTGATGTTAGTAGCAAGAATAAAGCTTCTGGCTCTGAGCTTCCGTATGTGAAGATGCTGAACAGAGTCCTGCCCCAGGACATTCGGATCTTGGACTGGGCACCAGCGGCAGAGGGCTTTAGCGCACGCTTCGACTGTCAGTCCCGCACGTACCGCTACTACTTCCCTCGAGGATCCTTGGACGTGGCATTGATGGCAGAAGCTGCGAAAAGGTGGGTGAAGACGCTGAGTGATAAACACTGATGTCAGCCGTCGAAGTTCTGATTTGAGGACCTCTTTTACACCCAACAGGTACGAGGGCACGCATGACTTTCGCAATCTGTGCAAAATGGATGTGGGCAACGGGGTCCTGCAGTTTGAGAGGACCATCTTGTCAGCGTCGGTCAAGCCTGTGCAGCCTCAGCACGTCTCCAGCACAGACCAATATGAGCTCTTCATGTTTGAGATCAAAGGGCTAGCCTTCCTTTACCACCAGGTATACGGGTTTTAATGTTTTTACAGCTCTGCTTAGCAGTAAATTATATACATTTCAAGTCATTGTATCCGTATACATTTTCAAATAACAATAGAAATTGTGTTTTTCTAATGCAAAGTTTCAATAATAGCAAGACTGGTTTGGACTTTTGCAATTTAGATTTAAAAACATCTCTTGTGGAGCTAATATCTTTCCTAATTTGATTTCTTTGATTAATGACATTTGCAGTGAACTTCCTGTTGTGTTATGCTGCAGGTACGATGCATGATGGCGCTGCTTCTCCTAATTGGGCAGAAACTGGAAGCCCCAGAGATAATTAATCAGCTAATGGATGTGCAGAGTAACCCCAGGAAACCTCAATACAGGTGAATTAACTGCGGTTAAAGAGGCATTGTGGGGTTTTTTTTGTGCATACATGAAAGATTTCTTGTCAGTATTCGTTAAACTACAATTGTCTGTATAAGTCTTTCCCTTCCCGTCTGGTCTGTAGCATGGCAGTAGACTACCCTCTGGTACTGTACGACTGTCACTTTGAAGGTTTGAGCTGGCAACAGGAAAATGAAGAGGTGAACCACGTCCTGTCTGCGCTACAGCAACACTGGACCCAGAGTGCAGTCAAGACCCATGTCCTCCATGGGATGATCCAGGGTTTGGAAGCCATAGGTGAGATGTTCAATGAGATCGACAGACTTAGGTTTCATCATAAACCTGTTTACAATAACAGGGATTTATAAATGGACCTCTGCAGGGCCCAGTATCCACGTAACAGACAGATCGCTGGGGGGACTACTTTATATTTTGAATGTCGTTCTTGCTTTTAGGTTGTAGAAAGTGCTCTTTATAAATAATGTTATTTTGATTGTAGGGTTTATATATAAAATTTTGTGCACTTTTGGAGCTCAAATTACATCCCCAGTCCGACCAGAACTATCCTGAATGGACTCACTAACTCCTTTATTTCCTGTTTAAGTTTTCCTTATACTGTTGCAGTATGAACGAAGGGTCTAAGGGTCGATTATAGACCCCTCTGAGATAAGGGGAGAATTTTGAGGAGAGTTGCTAACCAGTACTTTATAGGCTTACAACAAAAGGTAGAACGAATTATTTCCCTTCTCTCCATCCACAGGGGGAGTATCGTCCAACCACTGCTGGCTAGTAGAAGGCAGCAGGCAGAGAAACTACCGGCCCCTGCTGGAGCGTCCATGCTGCGAGAGCTTGGAGTCCAGGATAAACCACTTCGTCAAAAGAGGCAGGCTGGAGCGGGAGGAAGGGGACAACGGAGGGGAAACTGTGCACAAAGGAAAGAGGTCCAAACATTTCCACAGTTCCCCCAGTCTGCCCGGTTCTACAGAGATACCGCCTTCAAAACAAAGCACAGATCAGAAGGCAGAAGGTTAATATTTTCTCCCGGAGGAATGGACTTGCCAAAGTTTATTTTGTAGTCATGTTTGCTCTTGTAAAACATTGTATTTACATTTTTATTTCAGGAAACAAAACAATGGATGCATCTCTTTTATTTCATAAAAACAGTGTATTTACATTTTTACTCATGCAAATTTTTGTTTTTGCTTTGAATTAAATACACGTTGGAAACAGTGGCTGTCGCTGAGTTTGGTCTATAACACAACTGTAGTCAATGCTGGAATATAAAGTACTGCTCTGAACTTGGATATACTTGTACTTTACTTGAGTATTTCCATTTTATGCAACTTTATACTTTTACTCCACTACATTTATTTGACAGCTTTACTTTGCATATTTATATTATTAATACAAAACATACATCAACTAATACATTTTAAAGCTACCCAGCAGTATATAAAGTGATTAAAATGAGCTCCATCTGATGTACACTTAATGCATCACTAATAATAATCCATATTTATATAATTCTGAATTGGGCTATTCTTCAAAATTAGTCTCTTTTTAGTATTTTTAAGTACAATTTTGAAGATAAGAGACTATTGATCCCACACTGGGGCTCCATAATAACATAGCAGATAAGAAAAAAAGAAATGCACATTATATAACAAAATAAAATAGGAAAAAAAAACAAGATATCAAGAGTAAAAAAAGTAGTAAAACATCTGAATACTTCTGGCTGTGGCGCCTCAAGTTGAGCCGCAAGTTGAAACGAGCGAGGCGGAACGAACGCCAAGTAGGAACCACAGTCGGAAGACTTTTACAGTGGCGCCCGTCAAGCTAAGAAGCTAGGTCGTTAGCAGTCAGTAGAGCAAGAGTCCGAGCTACAAACAGCGACATACACAGCAACACGACCGTCTCCAACCTGCTCGTCCGACCGCACACTGAAGAGGACGGGCTGAACATGGCGGCAGCTTCGTGTGACTGCGTCTCTGTGCTCGCTCTGACCTGATCCAGACTTGTGCCAACACTGTGGCTCTGCACCGACTCCCCCTGCACATACAGTGGATTTGAGGAGTATCACACGTTCACGAGGTAAAGCAAAATGCACGACAGGTGTCTCTGGTCGTGGGTAACTCACTCTGTCACTGTGGAGCCTCGTTAAGGGCTTGTGTTGGCGTTTGGTCGAGAATAACTTTAAAGGGGATTTGACTCCCTGTTTGGCAGGTAGTCCGAGTGTAGCTCAGCCCCTCCACAGCAGGGGGCGTGTTGTTAAACCTCGGGAAAGCTATAAAATACTCAGTTTCACCCATTGACTGTATGATTTCAACCAGAAAGAGACGCGTATTTTGAGCTTGGCAGCGAGCGTCTGTCCAATATACACACCTAGAGCACTTTTATGTGTCTATTGCTTTGGTGTTTGTGAGTGTATGATTGTAGTAATCCCCTGTATATTAGGGCTGCGCAGTTAATTCATGATAAAAGGTCAAATGTGTGAGAAAAACAGTCTTTTAATGCAGTGCTGTAGTGCTGCAGAGACTCCCTGGTCTACAGATCCTGTTCTCCAGATTTAATAAAACGTATGTGTCAGGTATAGACCCTCCAAAACAGTTCATGTCATCGTGCTTTTACACACAAATCATGGATCATCTCTCAATATCTGTCAGAATAATCGCAATATGACGCTTTTACCATATTGTGCACACTCTAAAGTGCATTAACTCTATTATGTGTGGAATATACTGGGTGTAATATATGTATAGGATATTTATTTCTTAGCTTTTATTTAATTTTTCTTGTGTTTTTACTTTTTTAACCAGCTTTATCCACTGCCACCATTTTTTATTTATATCTCTTAAGTTTCTATGAGTCACCATAAGCCGCGGCAGTGTCTGTGTTTTCTTTATTTTCATTGTACCGACGTTGCTTGAATGCATCTTCCTTATACGTCTTTTGCTTTAAGATGTTCCTGGTGGGGCTGACGGGCGGTATTTCCTCAGGGAAAAGCACAGTGTCTTCCATGCTGCGGGAGCTTGGGTGCCCCATTATTGATGCTGATGTCGTGGCCAGGAAAGGTTAGTGAAAATCTCTCCCCTTGCAAACTGTTCAGATTTACTGTTATCCAGCTGAACCCCTCTCCAGGAGACAGCCTCTCAAAAGAAACTCTGAAATGGGGTTCAACTACAAACTGCTTGGTGTAATAACGTTTATTATCCTACTGAAATGGACATAAAGAGGTTAGAGAGTAGAAAAGAGTAGGAGGTTCATTAAGACAAAAGCTCGGAGCGACTGCGTGAATCATGACGGCTGTCTGTGCTGACTGCGGGGACGATGTTTTAGTTATGCTGCGAAGATAAAAAGGTCACAGAACTATGTGAACAGCTCACAGCTGCATGCAGGATCAAATAAAAAGCATTGGGCTTTACTTACACTCAGGTGGTTGATGAGTCTGTTACAGAATTCATTTAAATATTTTCTCATCCACTTTTCTCCCTCCTATGTGTCTGGTGTGCCATTTCTTAACTTCTTGTAGTAACTGGTGTCGCATTATTGACCACAAATCAATCATTTAACCACATTTCTTTGTTTTATACATGGTTTTGTTAATTGAAGCGATGCTATAATATAAACGAAACCTTTTTTTCTTGACAACAGTTGTGGAGCCGCACACTCCCGCCTATTCCCGCATCGTGTACCACTTTGGACCGGAGATCTTACTCGAGAACGGGGAGATCGACCGGCAGAAGCTCGGTCAGCTCATCTTCGCCAGTGAGGAGAAGAGGAAGCTGCTGAACTCCATCACCCACCCGGAGATCCATAAAGCAATGCTCAAAGAGATCCTGTTCTACTTTCTCAGAGGTGAGGGAGGAACTGAATTTGGCTCGGTGAACAGGGGAAAGGAGGACGATTTACCGGGAGTCAACCAAAGCTGCTTTGCGCTGCAGCGATTTAGGCTTTGTGAATCTCTGTGAGCCAAACGGAAAGAAACTTGAGAATATTCACAACATTTTACCCGGTAGAAGATGAAGATAATTGAGATAAAAAATAGTGAAACAGCAGCTCTTTTGGTTTTGACTTAACAAAATATATATACTGCAACAGCTGTGACTTCCACTGGCTACATTAATTCTTTAGCAAGATATCTCAAGTGCCTCAAAATAAACATATCATACACCACTTGTTGCATGTTGTGAAAAGTAATTAACATCATTTTGTTACCGGTATTTTCACAATGTTGGAGTTTAAATGTGTTGACAGTAATTCATTCTGTTTCACAATACCCTCCTCTTCTCTTCCGTCTCCCTAGGGTACCGCTACGTGGTGCTGGATGTACCCCTTCTCTTTGAAACCAGACGTCTCACTCAGTTTCTGAACCACACTGTCGTAGTTTACTGGTAAGACCACTGCTCAGCATTCTCCATTCGCCACCCGAATCGCTATAGAGTTTTACTTTTAGATTGTTTACAGGTTTCATATTTTAAATCATTAAATGTTTGGAGGTTGTTTTTTTTTGACAGACACTGCCCGTTAAGCCCAGCTCTATGAGTTATTGCTCTCTCTGTGCCTTATTAGCATGACTCACCGCCTCTGCAATTTTTAACAAGGCACCCTAGCTGCACCATAAATAACCTCCATTGTCTGTTCCTTTTCAGTGACCCTGCCACTCAGCTATCGCGCCTGATGCAGAGGGACGGCCTGACCCAGGAGCAGGCAGAGCAGCGCGTGGCTGCGCAGATGCCGCTCAATGAAAAGCGCGGCTTGGCCAATCACGTCATCGAGAACTCGGGCAGCCGAGAGGACACCCACCGGCAGGTCCTGCGGCTGCACACGAAGCTGGAGGACTCCATGGACTTCCTCTTAGTGAGGGTCATTGCTATCGCTGCCACTGCAGGTCTGGGTGGGATACTGCTGTATGCAACAAAGATCCTTTTGTCCTAACAGAGGACAGATGATGGGGTAAGAAGGGGGTCCAGGATGTGGTGAGGGTGTGAATAGAAGCAAGCGAAAGCCACGTCAGGGGTACTGGTGCAATTTACTGTGAGATTAGTTTCACAGCTCCCACCGCTACAGCTCAGAGGTATGACGTGCTTTGTTGGCAGTTAACGCAGACTTAACATTATTGACACAACATGCACTGACATTTGTGGTTTGGAGTAAAGGTTTGTATGTGCAATTTTCCGTTGTTTTTACTCAGAGACACATGAAGGTGATACCTTAGGCTCAGATACTGTACAAGCTCCCAGTTGCTCTCAACAGTGATCACAGCTTGGGGCCTAAAAACTGGTTCAGCAGTCAACTCATAACTAACATCAGTTTAAAAATATATATATCTAAAAACTGATAAATATATATAGATTTTATTTTGTTACACCTTTTACACCGTATGAAGTTATCCAAATTAGACATTTGGGGTGATTTGTAGATTGTAAATACAAACACCAGACAGTAGAGAGAGCAAATGAAGAAGTAAATGGCTGTACATTTATTTGTCAGTGCTTTCCTCAGCAATGAATATGTTTAAAATTGGATTGAAAACTCATCATAGCACCAACAAAAAAAATTAAAATGCTGAATAGGAACAATCTGATGCTTACATAATATGTTATGATTGTATGTTAATGACCTGTATAGTGAAGTTATATGACAGAATGTACTTGACAATCCATTTTTAATGGGAACAGTGTGAATCTACATGAATTAACAGACTTTGTATTTATCACTGTATTTTCTTACACTTGAAGCTGTCCGCTGTAATTACTAAGTCAGTAACTTTTGTTTTCTGTGCACACTCACTTGTAACTAAAACACAACATTTGTAACATTAGCTGCTGAAATGATGATACAATTGTACAATACTACTGTTTTAAAGTAACAACAACTGTCAGATCATGTCAGTTTTTTTTCTTATTTCAGTTGAAGTCCTGGATTCATCCTGGACATTTCACCCAAACATGTGGTTCGCTTATTGTGACTTCCTTTTGGCAATGGACGTCTGTTTTCAGATTCATCTGAAGAAGGGGGGAAGTTCCTCTGTGATGACTTTAAATTAAATACTAATAATAATATAACATAATGCAATTTGTAAACTCAAAGTCTCCAGTGCAAATACACTGAGAATATACTTAATGGTGTAGTAGGACACTAATATTGTCTTGTAGTAACTTTTAACTTTTGTCAAACCATATCCAACTCAAATTATTATTCATAGTATTTTTATGTTTTAAAACATGTCTGGAGGGGAATTGGGGTGTTACTTTGATCCACTATAGTCAAGATATTTGTCAAAAGTTAAGCAGAAATTAAAGAGGTGATTAGAGATTTATTGTAGTGATTTAGCATTACACCTTCATTAAAGGTCTAGTGTGGAACATTTAGGCAGAAATATAATATTCATAGGTATGTTTTTATCTGAAAATAAGAATTGTGTTTTCGTTATTAGAATTAACTGTTTTTATCTCATATAGCGGGTTCTCTTGCACAGAGTCCGCCATGTTTCTACAGTAGCCCAGAAGGGAGCAACCAAACATTGGCTCTAGACAGGGCTTCTCTCCTACATGCTTGAAAGGTCAGCAGTATTGAGTTAGTTGCAACCTACAACAGATTTTGAAAAGAAAAGTTCAAATTGAAGCTACAGAGGCAGAGATATCCTGACTTTTAGTCACTAGAATGGATAAAACTCCTGGATCCTACATTTTCCCATAATTCAACTTAGTGTAGTGTTTTATAGATCTCCCTGCCTGGTTAATGCCCACATCTTTCAAACCCCACACCTTCAATACATGCTTTCTGTTTTAAAATGCAACCCAGGGTAACTGATGATATTGTAACATCAGTTAATTAGAGCTATTTCCCCTTTACTTTAGAAAGCTCCCTTCAGAGCCACAGAAGACATTATACAACTGTTTTCACATGCGTATTATCAGTGGGAGCAACCAACGATTATTTTCATCAGGATTTAATCTGTCAATTATTATGTCAATTAATTGATAAAATAATCAAAAGTAGTGAAAAAGTAAATTTCCCACAGCCCTAGGTTAAGACCAATGTTCAGCTAATCAACCAACTGTTGCTGCTCTCACTCTCTAAAAATGAACATAAATCATATTAAAATGCATCAACCACCCAAATATTCTCAGCAAAAGACATATTAGATCATATTAAGATAGATCACATAATTGGATTCTACAGGGGAAATGTGTTAATGACAGTACTTCAGGAAAAGAAAATAATGGACTTATGTTAATGGTCAGTTGAGATGTCCTTGCTCTTGTCCACATTAGAGCTTAGGCTTGGAAAATCAAGCCCACAGGCGGGCGTGGTGACATCATCCTGGCACTGAGGTCCCACTAGCCTGTGTGGCTCACTTTGTTTTCCGTCTGAAGCCCCTACTGGTCTGCTCCTTGTTTTTATCAAGCCGCTGCAGAATTAATGCAAAGTGACTTGGGCTGAGGTGGGCGGGGGGGCAGTGAACCAAGGCTGCATGGCTGCACATTCGGATAAATATGTCATACACAAAAATCACAGCCACAAACACAATGTAATCTCACGTGCAAAGCAGTACATAAAGTGTCCACGGCATCCACTTAATCGCACTGTAACATAATCAGTCCAGGGTTGTCAGTCAAGTCCGAGCCACGATGAAGGATATGGTCTATTCTTAGTATTTGTTTTCAAACTTGGCTCCACCGTGATCCAGGGGGTAACATGCTTTACTAAGCAGCCAGCTGTTCAACAGAGATTTTTCAAGTGTTCCTTTTTCTCAGTCTCTTTCTCAGACACAGACAGAGGCCAGAAACCGAGCATGAGAGGAAGACTATATCTGTACCAGCAAGTGTGAATGCCCTAGGCACAGAATGGTGGCGAAGTCTCAGTCTGAATATAAATTGGGTTTAATTCTGAAGGTGTCAAGCTAAAAGGTGAAAGACTTTAAGTTGCCTTGTTATGCTTTGTAAAAGTGTGTGGATGCCGGCACAATCCGCCACTTTATTGCGTGTTGTGGGTTCTCTCCGGGAGCAGAGCAAATAATTTTCTGATGGCAGGGGGTAAAGACTTCTGTAATCTCGCCATCATGTTCAGAGAGTTGGCCTACGGCACCACAGTGTGTCGACATTTTGGAATCTCCTGTCTGAGTGGTTTTTCATCATTTCCCCCGCCTACTGCCGTCAGGGAAGGTAAAACAGCTTGGGCAAAGGCAAGCAAAATAAACAGCTTTGCACCAAACTCGAACCAAACTCTGGTTAATTGACAGTCTGAATTAATTTTCAATAATCACGGCATTAGTCGGTCTTGTTTTGAGTTTGGAATTGCTTACTGAAGGGGCTATTTTTTTAATCACAACAATGAAAGTATGTGCCGTCCCAGAGGGTAATAGGCTTTTAGTATTCATCAGGGTTTGTTAAAAGCAATTAATTTGTGCCATTTTTGTGAATTATCAATTAACACGAGACATTCGCAGTCCGACACATTTTAATACTTATGTGTGAGTGAGTGTGTGTGGAGGAGGGTGACTAGTGTGTATGTAGGAGTAATAATGGGGTTTCAAATCTTGTTTGGATCTAAAGTCCTTACACATTTCCTACTTATTTCACTAAACAGACCCTCTCTCAGGACTGTGTGGGCATTTACAGGTTGTGTTTGATTGACATTTCCCTCACTGGTCAGCTCTTGCAGCTTCAACCTGGTTGACCCTAATCCTAGCTCAACTAACAATTCATTTTATTATTTTTCACAACAATGGTTTGTTGTTGCTGTTAAAAGCACTTTTGTTGTCCTCTGCAATATGACAATGCAAGATTGCCCACAGCTGATTAAAGGTGTAAGATTTTGTGAACTACATCTGTCCTGTCAACATGATTAATTTAGTTCTAAATACAAGAAATACCACATTAAAGGTGCTGATAAGAGTATCTGCCCTGCCGGATTAATTAACACATAGGTCACAGATGAATATAATTTTACATTTTTACTGGTGAAGGATAGTAAAGAATAAATGAAAGAATAAACAAACATCCAAAATGAAGTTGTTTTACTCCAAATAAAGATGCTTTTATCACCAAGACATATAGACAGCATAAAGGCATTCATGCTGAGCTGCTCCGCCTGCTGCTTCTGCACATTTACATAGATGCTACAAGCACACCTGCGTCCACGTTCACTGTTGGCATTTACAGATCAGACAGCCTTTGAACACGTTTTAATCATTCAGTACAAAACATCCTGTAGCTGCTGTATACGTGGCCCCTATTAATCCATGTCTGCTCTGTTTGACAAAGTGCGTGATTATTTATGGATCGTAATTAGGACCAGTTCCTGTAGAGTGGCCAGCTGCTTATTAGCAGGGCAGATAGACGAGTGATAGATTTTGTACATTTGATTCTATTTTTTTAAACAAATGGCTTGATTTAGTTCGTGGAGTTTATTGAGCAGGGAAGTCATTTGTGTACAAAGCAGTGTATACGTTCTGCAGCGAGTCGACAGCCAAGTTAGCAAGGCTTTCAGCTAAATGTCAATGCTAATATAGCATATTGCTCACAATTACACCGTTAACATACATTTTAGCATGTTAGCACGCTCACATTTGGTAATTAGCACTAAGTAGTATTTTTCAAATACAAACAAATTTTCATTTTGACCAGATGATGGCGCTACAGGAAAAAACTTGAGTTTGAATTACATCTGGAGGTGAACATTAATGTGTGTGTGAAATTTCATGGCAATCCTATTCAGTAGTTCTTCACTATCACTTCACTCAAAATCACAAAAATCCACCTCATGGTGGCACTAGAGGAAAATTCAGGGTATCACCAAAGTCAGGATTCATTGTTGGACTACCACTGATACTTGCACCAAATTTCGTGGCAATCCAATCAATAGTTGTTGAGATATTTACCAGAGTAGTGGACAGTCCAACCAACATTGCCATCCCAAGAGCCACGCTGCTAGCATGGCTTGAAACAGGAATTAAGACATCCATCAATACATTTCCTGTGTAGGTGCTATGTTTGATTCATATTTTAGCCATCTAAAACAATAGCAATTTAGCGATAGTAAATGTATTTGTCTCTCTCCTAAACTGACCTGTAAAAATCACCACCAAAAAAAAAATTACATGGAAGACCTGTAGCAACCATCGATGTACCGCAATATAAAGCACCCACATCTGTTAAGTCTGACAGCTTTTTTTTATATATTTATATATATAATTGCCAAGGTTTCACATTGTTCTGTACTGGCACTTTTTCTTGACAGGAAAAACTTGCTTTGACAAGACAGTTACACTTATTGTACCTGTCTTCATGTAGATTCAAGGAACACACAAAAGAGAGTGTCATCTCTCTGGGTTGACAAAGGTTTTTCTTGGAATCTTCAATTATATCTAATTGAAGACAGTGAATGACAGAATTTTAAAAAAAGATGGACCCAAAACAAATGTAATAGTCCTACCATTTAAAATAAAAAAACTGTTGAAATGCTGTATCTCCTGGAATGTTTCGTATGTCAAAGCTTGTTGATTTTAATCAATATTTAACATGACAATCTGTGAGTATGTGACTGTTGAGGACCACTTCTTCAAGACTGATGATTTAACTTTGATGAAACACAAATTGACAAAAAGAGCAATGATGAAAAACCCAATGGGTTGCCCACTCTCCCTCAGCACAAGAGGTCACAAATGCAGCTAGACACCAACGGGTAGAATAAACTGGCCTGAGCAACTGTAACGACTGTAGTGTTCTTGAACTCTGGCATCTGGTGTCATGCTGAGGAAGGGGCACTCGCAGCGCCTCCGTAGCCCGTTGTCAGGCTGCATCCACGAGACTGTGGTGAGGTGAAGAGACAGGCAACTCGCCAGCGGAGCATCCCCAGCCACATGACTCAACCTGT